ACACACACACACACGCACGGACACACACACACGCACGCACACACACGCACGCACACACACACACACGCGCGCGCGCGCAAATATACTTCACTTTACTTTAATCAGTGGTTATATTTGCTTCGGTGTGTGTGTGTGTGTGTGTGTGTGTGTGTGTGTGTGTGTGTGTGTGTGTGTGTGTGGTACCTGTTTGGAGGACTGATCTTCGCTGTGTCCAGTATGCACAGACAGAAGCTCTGGAGGATCAGACCGGCGAGCTGACAGAGGGAGAGGAAGCATCAGTCTACAGTAACCCACACACACCGTCACCAACATCAGAAACGCGGAGGGCGGCACGGTGGCGCAGGGGTCAGCACTGTGACCTCACAGCAAGAAGGTCTCTGGTTCGAGTCTCGGCTGGGTCAGTTGGTGTTTCTGTGTGGAGTTTGCATGTTCTCCTCGTGTTGGCGTGGGTTTCCTCCGGGTGCTCCGGTTTCCCCCACAGAGATCAACTAAATTGGCTGTAGTGTATGAGTGTGTGTCTGAATGAGTGTGAATAAGTGTGTTTAGGTGTTTCCCAGCACTGTGTTGCAGCTGGAAGGGCATCCGCAGTGTAAAACATATGCTAGAATTGTTGGCGGTTCCTTCCACTGTGGCAACCCCTAATTAATAAGGAACTAAGCCGAAGGAAAATGAATGAATAAATGAAGTGTGTGTGTGTGTGTGTGTGTGTGTGTGTGTGTGTGTGTGTGACATCAGTGTTCATACCGCTGTGTGTGTCCAATCAGCTGAGAGCAGGTCGAGGGTGATGACATCACTTCTTGTGTCCTCATCAGTGTTGATGTTCTTTAGAGTCAGAGAGATCCTGGAAAGCTGAGCACACACTTCTGCGTGCACGCACACACACACACACACACACACACACACACACAGCTCAAATACACAGCTCCTCCAGCAGTGAGATGCAGGTTTATGATGTGTTCAGTCTGATTACAACAAACTGTTTGTCATTGTGTGTGTGTGTGTGTGTAAATATTAGTGTGTGTATGTGTGGGTGTGTGTTTGTGTGTGTGTGTGTGTGTGCGTTTACCTCCGTCAGCAGCTCCATCACATATGATTCTCCTCAGACACTGGAACTGATCCTGGAGAACCATCAGATGATCTCCATCACTGGAATCACACATACCTTAACATACACACACACACACACACACACACACACACACACACACACACACACACACACACACACACAGAAATAACTCTAATCATTCAGCGGAGTAATATGAAGCTACTCAAAATCTGCCGGGACTACTTTAGCTGTGCCTTTATCTGACGATAACCCAATAACACCCATAACACATAACACATAACCCAGACTGCAGAAGCCAACGGCTCTAATCTCCAAACATTCTTCATGCGAGACATGTGTAATGATGTCTCCTTAAACAGCAACACAACAGCCGTGTCATTGTGCAGTACTACCCCGAGTGTGTGTTTGCATTTCCTCCAGCTCACCTTCTCTGAGTGTGTGTTAGTGTGTGTGTTAGAGTGTGTGTGTGTTTCCTCCAGCTCACCTTCTCTGAGTGTGTGTTAGTGTGTGTGTTAGAGTGTGTGTGCGTTTTATCCAGCTCACCTTCTCTGAGTGTGTGTGTCTCTCTCTGACAGGACTCAGTGTAGGAGCAGTAGAGCGCCGCCGGGATCTTCTCCGCTCTGGGGAAGGAGAGCAGCACCATGAACACACACACACACACACACACACACACACACACACACACACACACCCACACACACACACACACACACCTGATCTGAACACACTCGAGTAGAGGAAGGGGAGATTTACCTCCTCAGGGCCTCGATGAAGGACATCCTGCCATCTGCTTGAGGAGGAAGCTGGGAACACACACACACACACACACACACACACAAATACACACTGAGTGTCATGATGAGCAGAGAAAGGGATACACACACACACACACAGGTGATGATGATGATGATGAAGATACTGACCACTCGTGGCGAGAGCAGCGCTGGGAGAAAGCGAGACATGAAATACGGCCTCCTGAAGATACTGCACACACACACACACACACAAATACACACCCACACACACACACTGAGAACAAGCAGAAGCACTGAGTGTGTGTAAGTGTGTGTAGTTCATGTTTGTGTGAGAGTGTCTGTGTGTGCGCGTGTGTGTGTGTGAGAGAGAGAGTGTATGTATGACTGTGTGTGCGTGAGAATTTGTGTGTATGTTTGTGTCTGTCTTTCTCTGTGTGTGTGTGTGTGTGTGTGTGTGTGTGTGTGCGTGTGCGCTCTGTCCCTGTTTTTGTGAGAGTGTCTGCGTG